TGGACGTGCGCCGGCCTTGAGGCGCGCCGCCGCCGCCACCGTGTCACTATTGTCCCGGCGGCCGTCACCATTGTCGGCCGAGCGGCCAGAGCCCGATCCGTTTTCCGGCTGCCGGACACGAATGGCGCCCGCAGGGTGGGCCCACTGCGTAGCGTATGACCCTGTCAGTAAAATGATCTGTCGGTGGCTATGAAATGCCCCCGACACGAGGCGTCCCCGTTTTGTCACAGCGGTCCTATATCAACCACAGCCAATTGGTCGACAGACTAACACAAATGTTACAACAGTCCGCCACGGGATCTATCGGTAAAACAGTCGCCATTTGGACAGTACTGCGGCCCGTATTCAGGGGAGGGGCGGTCAGCACATAGGTTGTCCGGTAGCGTGGTAAGGCCCGTTAGAATCAGTCAGCCAAAGTTTCACTGACACAGGATATGACGACAGGCACGTCCTACAGTTGATACCACGTGCGCGAGCTATCACGTCCAATGGAATACCCTGTTGCAGTGGGGGTGGCCCAAACCGCTCACTGTGCGCTATGACAGCCATTACGCGGGCGGAAAACCTCTGACATTCCTGAGAAAAAGAAAATGTGCGGTTGCTGGTATTGAGTTTCCCGATGTCATTCACGTTCTCCTGTCGGTATTTCGCTCGTGTGTGGAAGGAACGCGTCACGCAATCGAACATTGAATGCCCTAGTGAAGGCGTTTTGTCGTCAACAGAGCTCGGCTCCGGGGAGGCAGCCTGTTGTGGCTGACCAGCTCGGCTCCGGGGAGGCAGTCTGTTGTGGCTGGCCACGTCTGATCGGTGTCCCTGATCACGGCGTAAACCCGCTCCTGTCCGGTCCCCGCTCCGTCCCGGGCTGGTCCCACACCGGCCGGTGGTGTCGGCCGAGCCGACCGCAGGCAGCCTTGACCTGGCCCCCGTGAGGATCAGCCCCATCCGCCCGTCCCACGGTACAGCCGGCACAAAAGCAGACCGTTGCAGTCGACTCCCACACATCGTGCTGTGTCCGGGTCACTCTCTGACCCCGGCGTGCTGTGAGTCGTGGCGTTAGGGGTCCGGTTGCAGGGAACGTAATCTCCGGACAAGGGAGGAATTGTTGCACTGATGACCGTGAATGTGACATCACAGTGCACTCAGGCACAAAGCACGGTGCACCGCCCTGGAGCGTGTCGGGTTATATGATGAGCAAACTAAACCACAGGCTTTCGGCGCTCGCGTCACTGTTTCGAGCTAAATCCTAATACAGGACAACCAGGAACTCTAGGATTACGGTGACATGATACGGACACTTTTGGATGACACATGCATTTTTGAATAGATTGTTTAAATTCAAATCGGATAAGTCCGCCCCATGTCACCAGGCATCGCTGTGACGAGCCTTTCATGCGTGACATGACGACCACTTTTGAGCGTGAAAACCAGGATAGCCATTGAATGGATGAAGTTCCCGTAGCGTGATGAGCAAGAGTCAGCGATATTTCTAACTCATTGTTTTAACGATAGCGCGAGGACAATAGCTACTCTAGTGAACGTTCGTGCTCGTTTTTTCATTGCTGCTGTCCCCGCTAAGTGTAATATTTTGCTTATCATTCTATCACCGCTTCAGTATGCCGCTTATTTTACAGACGTCACTATTCAGCTAAATGTCGTTAATCTTCGGTAGCATTTTAGCTTGCTGGATTGTTCGTGGCATTCTTGAATGAAAAAGTATACCCATCACACAGTGCATGCGATCAAAATTCCGTTAATTGCTTTTGAAAATCCATTTTAATAACAAGTAAGCCGCTAGGGCTCACGGAAAAACATACCTACTCTATAGCTATATGATTACTTCACTCAAGCCAAATGCACAAAATGGATAGTGTTACCTTACTTAAAGAGAGATTATGTAAAGATATCCACTGTTCTCAGAAAGGAATATAAAATGAGCTCATCTGCTTGGTAAAATTATATAAGGATAGCGTACTGTATATCTTAACGTTTTTTTTTTTTTGAAACGCTACGAAACGTTAAAAAAATATGCCGACGTAAGTGTATGCAATTTTATTGAAACAGAATACTAGGGGGATGCACCTTACCAGCGATCGAATTACCTATGTAGGAATCTGCAACGCATAAGACATGAGATTCGGAAAGACGAGAGAAATGTCGTGTGAAAATAGGGAGAAACCTTCATTCGAGTACATGAAGTAGGTTAGAGCTTCTGATAAAAGGTTCCTCAATCACTTTGCCCAGCAACATGACCTTGCCCTTGTGCCCCCAGGCGGTGGTGACGACGCTGGCCGCGCGGCTGACATCGGCAGCCTACCGCAGCTCCTGCTTCGGCGGCCGCTGCGGCTTCCAGTCGGGAAACAACGGCTTCCACAGCTTCCAGTCGCGCTTCAGCCAGTCGCAGTTCCCGGGCGGCGGCAGCAGCGGCTACAGCCACCGGTTCGGGCCGGCGCGCTCCCCGTTCGGACCGTCACCCAACCCCTTCGGCCCGGCTCCGGGCGGATTCGGCTCCGGGGGCCGGTTCGGACCGAACCACTTCGGCTCCAGCCACTTCAGCTCGAGCCGCAGCCGCTTCAGCTCACCGTCGTTCGGACCGAGTCCGCGGCACTTTGGCTCTCCCAGCCACTTCAACTCGCCCTCCGGCGGGTTCGGCAGGTTCGGCCGTTTCGGGTCGCACTCGTCGCTGCCCTCTCGGCTGAACGGCATCAGCGCGGACCAGCAGTACCAGGCACAGCTGGCCACCAGCCGGCAGCTGGCGCACCGCCGCAGGCAGGAGCAGCACCTGATCCAGAGCCACACCGGCATCGTCCAGCCGGGCTCACCGTCCGCCGCGCTGGCCGCCGAGAAACGCGCCGACCCCAAGTCCCTGGCGCTGGGTAACCAGGCCCTGCAGCAGATCCTGTACCTGCAGAACCTGGTCGGTTCCGTGCGCCGGCGGTGATTTGACCACACAGGTGAGGACTGATATGGTGAACACGGGCCACAACCGCAGGGGGTGGCCCAGGGGTGCTCCGCAGGAGGTGCTCAGGGCTCTGTCTCCGGGTAGCACATTTTCCATGTGAGCAATATGAAGAAATAACTGCTGAGGCATCGGGATTACTGACTGAGCTACTGGGAACATTAGCTCAGTGAATGTTATTCGGTTATCTCTTTCCCATCTCTCCCGGCCAATGAGGGAAATCCCGGATAACTAGTGTCCTTACACATTATACATACGTATCCCCCCCCCCCCATTCATGAGAAGTTAGTAAAGTAAAGAAACTTCCTTGTTCAAGCGTTTACATCATTTCACCTGAAACGAGGCTTTTGGCTAAATGACCGTAAACCAGCTTCGTTCAGAGCAAACAGAATGACGGATAGCCTTTATCTTGTCCTCCAAGCTCCAACGGTAACGGAGGCTGACATCCGCCTCGATAGCCGTATGTCTTGTCTTTTATTAACCCTCTGGACTTTGAAACAATGAAAGTTCCTTGTTTTCAATGCATAAAATCTAGCCAACTGTATGCTTGACGACATTTTCTATAGCGCATTTACTTTTTAATTCTCGCTTATAGAAAACGGAGACGTCTCGTTAAGAACAGGACGTTGTAAGTTGTAACCGATGTTCTTACATGTTGTTCGTCTGTTTTATTCATTCTCATGCTGACTTACCCAAATTCAAGGGCTGAAACATAAGACCGTTTCGCCGTATGATGTTTAACTGGTGCGGCTGCGAACCATTGAGCATTTTCCGGTTTATTTTCCTATTTATCGCCTACTTTTCCTGTGGGTATATGTTGTGTTATATGAGACATCAATTGTTGAGAGATTCACACGTCCTGACAAACTTACCTCATCATTACTACTGCCGGAAGACAGTGCCCTTGAAAGTATGCACTTCACCTTAAATACAGGAATTACAACAGAAAGCAATATGGGAAAACTTCACGGATCATCAAGTTCATGCTTGTGGGCTGAATTCCGTGCGAAATGTACCTAACATCTTTGCTACATTTTAAACATGGTACACACACAGAAATATTGAGCGGAAAAACGGTGTAATTGAAAGTACCAAAAGGAACATTTTTTTGGTGTAAAATTACTCCGTTTTCTGCGTAAAAGAACACTTATATGTGTGTTTTGCTAGCTTCGGAGTGCTTCACTATTGTGTAGGAGAACCGCTTTCAGTGTACCTTTACCGCGGATCTCGCGTTACATTTACGCACAAATATGTGTTTTTGGTAAAAAGTACCAAAAGGAACACTCGCGTGGTAATCGTACACAAATTCATGGCGGTAAATTTACACAAATATGACGGTAATTATAACGTTTTTTTCTGGTAAAGCTAATGTTGGGCCCGCAAAATTTGTAACGCAAGCGACACACGGCGGGACGTTGTCGCCAGCCGCGAGCCTTAGCTAAATGCAACGAAACATTGTGATGCTCAATGCCTACCCCATGCTGCAAACACGTTTGTTTGTTTGTCGTTTATTATTAAGAATCGACATGACATCTGACGGAAATAAAAGTTAGATTAGCGTATATACCTTATGATGTATATAAGCTGATATTTCACAACGCATGGGCGCCGCTACAGGCCGCAGCCACCGCCCGTCTCCCGTCAACTGCCCGTAATTGATGAATAAAAAATATGTCATCTGTATGCACTACTTCACTGTGCCAAAATTATCGTTCATTTAATTAGCCATCGGCTCTCTGTTGCCTATCTGGCAAAATATTAGCATACCTATACCTAATTAACCCTAGAAAAGCATGAAAGTGCATCCATTATTTTCATAACACAACAGCAGCTCAGTTGAAAAATTACAAGCCCACCTTAGCACTCCGACAAAGCTGGATAATTTCCAGCAGCTCCTCCAATGTCGCTCCGCTTCAGATTTCCGACTCGGTCTTGATTGCAGTTATCAGACGATGACCACAATGCAGTATTTCACTTATTATTCACTTATTCACTCATTACTCAGCCTATTATCCAACTAGATAAACACCACAGCACTGTTTTATCTCACTGATGTCACAAGAATGAGCAAACTCACTCTGCGCACTGCAGCCACAACACTCCCCCGCCGGCCCCCGCGGTCCCCGGCGCACAACTGACAGATTGCGAAAATGGCGCCGCCGCCGTCAGCATTTAGCTCAAAATTTCGCTAAATTTACACGGGTTGACGTAAACAAACGGTGCTCTGGATGTGTACCGCAATTACCAGTGTGACACAACACTCATTCGCTTATGGATACACTTGCTTTGCATGAAAACATATCAGTTAGGTATTTGAACATCTGTTATGCTGTTACATTATCCTGTTTTGCGTAAAGATGCTTGTGTGGTGTAATAAAACTGCCGATGTTTGTTAGTTAACCAATAAACGTCGTATAAAAACAAACTTATTCTTGATGCCTTTACTTATCATGGCGTTGTGCGACGGATACCTTGCTTGTTTATCACGTAAGTACTTAAACTAAAGATATTTTACTACGTGAAGCAGAACTTTGAAGCTATTTGAACTATTTACGAGTATATTGAACTTGACATCGCTCAATATTTCTGTGTGTGTAGAAATCTTCTATCGTGCTTTGTAGCAAATTTGGTCGGAAAATTCGGAACATTCGGAAAAAGATAGCTGGATCAACTTATCTTACTGGTTTCAGATGTTTTATATCGCTCAGTCAATGTGATGCAATGCAAGCATATATCAAGCCAATGGCCTGTAAGTTATAGCTCAGATGAATGATATGGAGAGGTGTCAGTTAATGTTTTCTGCGCATCTGGTTCACCCACTTTCAGTGAACTTTTTTTCAAAGGCTTCGTGAGCCATGGACAACATTGCAGTCTTCGCATGTAAGCGAAGCTTTTAACCGTTTTAGATCTACTGAGAACCCGATTACTTTGAAAACGAGAGGACCATTGTTGATATGAGATCCAATAATCAAAAGCTGACTGACGCCTTTGTGTGAGCACACTCAAGTCTTCTTCTTTCCTCAATCTGGGCGAGTGCTCCGCTGTTCGCCAGGTGGCAATCGCGGTAAATTGTTCGGAGGAAAAAAGGTGAAAAGGCGCTGCACCACAGTTGTGGTAGTCGTCTTTGTGATAGCCGACATCCGCTCATACTAATGCCTCGCTTGTGCGTGGGCGAGTCGTGCTAATCCAGCCGGCCGCAATGCTCCGGTGACGTTTTATGAACACTGAACAGCAACCGTCAACTCTTATCTACTGATGTCCTTGTGGCATGTGGGCCACAACGTGGTCACCGCCTTACCGAGGACACAAAGCCCACGGTTTCTTATCGCTGTCAAAAGTTCTGCATTCTCCACGAGCCCAGTAGCTGATGACGCACGCAGCTCGGCATTGACTCTGCAAACGGTTACCACATCGTGTCTAAACCGTTTTCCCCAGTGCGTATTTTTACTGGAATCATTATTGCCTAGCTGGGATTATCGATGACTCTTCTCCGGGTAATACGTCCTGTGCTTGCGCTGGGAGTGAGCATGTCGACACACATTAGAACCGGTCTTGAGCCGACCCACTTTGAGAGCTTGCTGCACAGTGCAATGCCCATGTCCGAGACGAGGCTTCTGTTTTGAGGGGCCTAACCAGCTAGTGGGGCTCCCGGCTCCCTTAGGGGCCCCGCAGAGACCGTATGCAATATGCAACCCGAGCAGATAAACATTTGACATAACCCGCTCTACGCTGTAGCTCTACTCTGTGTGAGTCCAGTGATGTAAGAAACTATCTGCGATCTGCATGTGGCATTATTCGCCCGGTGTTGTAAATCAGGCTCTGCGGGTGTCTTTGTGCCACCTATGTGTAACTGTGCCGCGACCTGTTTATGTAATAAATACGTAACGCAAATGTAATCCGCTTTGTGTTTGCAGGTCAGACATTGTACAGAGAGGCCCAGTGGACCGGGTCGGGTCGTCCGGAGGCCGCCTCTCGTCTCCTTACGGTCCGGGGTGGACCTGGACTAGCCGACTGGTCCGACTGCAAGCCGCGGCTCCGAGGCGACCACCGCCCCTCCCCGGGCGCAGGGCTGTGACACATAATGTTAGCCAAACTAACCCAAAGTTAGCGGAACTGACATGTCTTGCGAAACTGACCCAGTGTTAGCCAAACTGGCATGCCGTGTAAGCGAAACTGACCCAGTGTTAGCCAAACTGGCAAACCGTGTAAGCGAAACTGACATGTCGTGTTAGCGAATCTGACCCAGTGTTAGCGAAACTGGCAAACCGTGTAAGCGAAACTGACCCAGTGTTGCCGAAACTGACATGTCGTGTTGCGAAGCCCCACGGGCGATACGCCCGCCCCGATTGGGCATCTGCGCACTGCGAAGGGGCAGTATGGTGTTGTGTGGTCGTGCGCATGTCCACGGAGTCTGTGGGTGACCGATATGAGCGGCTGTACGGCCTCGCTGGGCCCTGGTCGGCCGGTGACGGGCCCAGCCACGAACCGACAAGGACACCCCGTATTTCTGGCTCAGGTATTGCAGCATTGTTTTACTGTGACGATGAGCTCTGTGCCGACGCTGACCATTTTTAGACAGGTCCGTGCACCTGACTTTTTAGCGAGGTTATTTAGCTTTATGAGTGACCACAGAAACTGACGAAATATACGGCACCGTGTGCTATCTAAGCGCTTTGCCTGTGATGTTTGGTTCTATGGCTGCTACCAAAGCCACATAGGCTGCGGATACGGTCGGGTGATCTGACGGGCGCTCAGGTCGGCTGTCGAGCCACCCGCCTCCCATGGTCGGCCAGCGGGACCCGTTAAGCTGTAGTGTACATGTGCAGTAACAAAACGTTGCCGAAGACGCCTGTATCTGAACTCTGAAGCACACGTCGGAGCGACGCGCTGACTTTCTGTCACTGCCAGGGCAGCGCGGCGGTGGACGGTGGACGGAGGGCGGTGGACGGTGGGCGGAGGGCGGTGGACGGAGGGTGCCGGGCGGTGGAGCGGCGGGCGGTGGACGGAGGGTGCCGGGCGGTGGGCGGTGGGCGGTGGGCGGTGACGGCAGACTCGGCTGCCAGCCGACGATCCCCAACACGGCCCGGAGGGAGGACGGTCCACGGGGCGCACTAGCCTCTGAGTCGGTGGCGCCCGGCGTTCGAGTGGCGTGACATGCACTTGCACAAACGGCCGACACTTCCTTCCTGTAATCTTTGTTAGCCCTATTTAGTCCCTTAATTTTCCTCTGTCGAATTGAAAACAATCGTGCTGTTTTGGATCACTGTGATTCTATATAGATGCAGTCAGTGGAAAATAAACAATGGTTGATGAACCGACTCACGAAAATCACCTTGAAGGCATTTTCACTCCTCGTGTTTTGTTGCTCCTTCAAAACATACAAAATGGTAAAAGGAATCATTACAGACACAGCGCTCTATTGATAGGAAAGTGCTTTAACCCGGCAGGCGGTGGGTCTCCCGGCCACTTTCCGCGCGGTGGGGAAGGGATTTTTTGCTCCCCCCTCGTAGGGGAGAGTGGGGAAAGATGCCCAGGGTTTTGCTATGTCATATATTATTCGAAAATGACGATCGGAAAGCAAAAACTTGGAGTTTCAACGGAAGCCGACATCATTTTTCTCCAAAAATATCACACTTTCGTGCCTGAAATATGATAACTTTTTTTGCTATTAAGCATTTTCCCGAAGAAGTGAAAGGGGGCATCTTACCCCACAGGGTGGGAAAGACGCCCCCTGGCGTTGGGGAAGATGCCCCCTGCACTATAAGTGACAAAAATGGGCACGTGAATCGCCTGAACGAATCAGTAGTCCCTTCGAGCCTGCAGTAGACACCAAACGTCATCGTAAGGACCCTCAAAAGTAGTCGTAAGGGGCTTCAGAGGTCATCGTTAGGGCCATCATAATCCAGCGCGGCCAAACAAGCCTCCGTGGTGGCGTTCGGAGACCACTGTGGGGCCCTTATTGTGGGGCCCTTCATGATGCTTGAGGTCCCTCGAGCCCGTGGGGACCTCAGATGCCAGCGCGGCCCGTGGAGCCAACGTGGGAGCCCTCAAAGGATGTCGTGAGGGGCCCTGGAGCCAATAATGGGGCCCACAGAGGCCGTCGTGAGGGCTCTCAGAGTCAGATGCCGCCCAAAAAGCCGCTGTGTGGGTCGAGAGACCGGCATGGGGAGCACCCGACCGTACTGGACTCTCAATAGTCCCAGATCGGCTTTTGTCTCTCATCACAAGTATGTAATAAATGATTTGACGGGCTGCTTGAAGGACAGCCTACGGATTTAGGGGGGCGTCTTTCCCCATCAGGACAGGGGGCATCTTACCCTAAGGTACCGAAGTAACATTAAATCAGTACAATTTGTTAGCCATAAAACTACACCCTGAAACAAACTGTTTGGGACACAGTACACGCATGTTAATGGATCACGACTATAGTAAGGGACGCAAAAACTATCTACCTTCTTTGATATTTACCATGTTTTGACACCAAAATATTTTTTGAAAGCAGCAAATAAAAAACATGCAATCACCAGCCAGCCGTTGCCCAACTGAGCTTCGCAAATTTTTGTGTAGTTAACAAAGCAGGCTTCCGCTTTACGCTAAGAATATTAATTTCCAGGTGCGATTCTTTGTTTCGTCGCTAGAGGGGGTGGGGCGTCTTTCCCACCCTGGGCATCTTACCCCACTCTCCCCTATCTCCGAAACTACTGGACGGATCCGCAAAATTCAAACGGCGTTCGATAGCCCTGTAAAATTTGTTAAGGACGCTCTAATTTCATTGACCTCGAGGTCACCGATGACGTCACAGGTCAGGTCAAAGATAAAATGTTTCGCCGTTCGCGGGTATTCTGGGGAATGCCCCCCCCACCGCTCATGGAAGGTTAACATCTGCGGTATTTTTCCCTCATCATGTACATTCAGTATGCTCACTGCCGCGCGGGTTGAATGATGTGCTTTCGTTTTGGCAAAGGTCAGGTGTGGTGTTTACCTCAGGTCAAGGCCAGGTCAAAGCCGCTAAGATCATGCAGCTCGTCAAGAGAGATCGTGTAACATCTGTAAAAGGAATGTAAAATTTTCGAATATCGTTTTTTTCCGATAAGGGTGACTAGCCCCGCGTTCTAAGTCTCTCGGACGACGAAGATTCTACGTCGTCCGGCCAATCCCGTTCAAGGTCAGCGGGGGCTCGGCTGCGGTTATGGTCCTATGGAACGTGATTGGCCGGACGACGTAGAATCTTCGTCATCCGAGAGACATCGAACGCAGGGTAGGACTTGTGCGACCTGTTCACTAACCCCGCGTTCGTAGTCTCTCGGACGACGAAGAATCTACGCCGTCCGGCCAATCCCGTTCCAGTACCGCAGCCAAGCCCCCGCTGGCGCTGACCTTGAACGGTATTGGCCGGACGACGTAGAATCTTCGTCGTACGAGAGACTCCGAACGATTCCATGACAAATATCGAAACGCAAAATATCGAATTGCAATATATCGAACAATACCTATGTCTTTTCGATATTCTGCATTCGATATTTTGTTTTTTTGATCATTCTTTCGATATTTCGTCTTTTTGATATTCTGCTTTCGGTATTTTGCCTTTCCGACATTTGCTTTCGATAGGTATTTTGCCGTTTCGATATTTTGTCATTTGATATTTTGTCTTTCCGATATTTTATCTTTCGATATTTTGCAATTTCGATATTATGCTATTCGATATTTTGCGATTTCGATATTTTGCAATTCGATATTTTGCCATTTCGATATTCGGCTTTTCGATATTTTGCTACTTCGATACTTATCCATTTCGATATTTTGCTTTTGATATTTTGTCACTTCGATATTTTACCTTCGATATTTTGCGATTCGATATTTTGCTTTTCGATATTTTGTCCGGAACCCTGTTAACAGCGGCACGGAGCGCCGCCGTTTTTAGCACACCTTATCATACATCAATTCCACACATGTTGTAAATGTTTTAGATCAAGGTCATTCAAGGTCAGGTCACTAAGTCACTTCAAGTGACCTCATCTCATAAAACATTTCAATGCCTGCCATAGCTAAAACGAGTGACCGATTGCCTCTGAAACTTTCAGCGATTGATAAAAGCAATAGGGTAAGGTGCCTAATTAGCGACCCCCTTAATTTGAACCGTCATTGCTCACGCTCTGCTGATGCCACTGTATTACTGGCTTGATTTTCGGAGAGGTCGTTCATTTTTCTATTAAAATATAGTCATTTTCCGTCCCAATATTCACTAAATTATTTGTAGTGAGCATTTTGGCAAACCATTGCAAAAAAAAAAAAACGCTTATAGGGAACTCTTCCCGATTAGCGACCGGGGAGGGTCGCTAATAAGTCTATGGGTTTCCCCATATTAAAAATGGCAAAAAATGCGACGCCTGAAAAGATGAAATATGATCTCAAAAAGGTAACCTATACGCAAAGCACTCAATCACTCGAACAGAAACGTTCATCCAACACATTTAGGTACGTAGGGTAACTATGGGGAAAACGCATCCCTGGGTTAAACGCCTCCCCTAAAAAAATCGTATTTCTTATCGACGGATAGGTGTTTTATCCTGTCTTTCAGAACAGTCAGCTGCTTGTTTACGTAGGTCTCTATTTCCGGTTCTGAGTCTTGAGGAGCAGCGTGGGTAGGTGCTGATGTTGGTTTTGGGTGTTGTTTTTGTTGTTTTTACAGAAGATTCCTAATATTTTGATGCCCTCTTTATATCACAAAACTTGCTATTGTGCACATCACTCAAAACTGCGTTTTATTGTCATTCTGTTGAATATATTATGCTGCGGCGTTAGTGGCGCGTTTTTTGTCAATATTTTGTTGACCGGAAATGGAGTGGATGGGGCAAGACGCCTACTCGATGCATGGGGCAAGACGCCCCCAGTTTTCTGAAAGGGGGGCGTTTTGCACGGTGGTGAGAGTGCAGGGTAGCGCCCTGTAGGTCGGGGCCGAAAAGGCCTCTCCCTGTCCTTTTTTGCTGATATATCCTAAACGACTGTAGATATCGTCACCAAACTTTCAGGACTCCTCCGGGCATCCATTTTACACATTGCAACAAAATTTTATTCCAAAGGCTATGATAGGTTGACCACAAATGACGTCAGAATGACGTCAAGTTCTGCCATGTTCATCATTTTCTGTTGATAGATGGGGTGGGGGCGCTTTGCACATGGGTGTGGGCGTATTACCCAGGGTATGGGGCAAAACGCCCTTTTGCAAGGGTATGCGAAAACCTTTTTGGGGGGTTAAATACCTCACGCAGGTGTCTTTTCTTGGTCTCAAAACGTAGTAAAAAGAATGAGCTACATGATGGTGCCCAAAGGTTTAAGTAATCTGTGTTGGGTTGAGTGTCAGAAGGTTTCGCGCTTAAGGGGGGCGTTTTTGACCTATTCACCCTAAGTAAAAACTGATCACGTGATGCACCGAAGGCGAAAAGAAGGCGGAAGCCCAAATTTTGCGGGCTATCTCGTATGATATTTGAGGTCCGCGCTGAATTCGGCACCCCTGCAGTCGGTGACGACATTTGACATCCCCTGCCACACATTGCAAGCTTCAGCAACACCTCATTTTCATGTATTTCTTTTCCCCTTTCTTTCCCTTCTTGAGCTATTTGCAACCATGTCAGGCGCAAATAGAAAATATGAGTTGCGACACAT